CACTTTACTACTGCTCAATCCTTATATTAGAAATGAAGGCAGCTAAAGTAGATTAAATACAATTAATGAATTTCTGTGACTCCGTACTCATCATACAGTTCCTCAAAGATGAATACGGATTTAACAAGGAAGAATCCAAATCTCTTCCAGCCACAAGGATACATGGTTGTCGCTAAAGCAATCAAACAAGCCTGCAAGGACATCAAATTGATGATGAAGGCTGTTAACATGCAAGAAGTCAATGATGCAAGAGTACAGCCTATCATGGCAGAGCTTGAAGCTCAAAGGAAAGCTGTAAAAGCTAGTTAACCTGTCATCGAAAAAGAGAAAGAGCCAACAATGGAAATATTCAGAACATGCAGGAGATCTTACATTACAGCTATGAGACTTATTAACAACTTAGTTTACAAAGTCTCAATTGTATTCATGCGATGGACTTCAAGACAAACTTAGCCTACTCATTGGTATATTAGCGCGAACCGTACAGCTCTTCCTCGACGGAAACAAATGGCAAAGGATTACGTCATGCAGGTAAATCCGGACTCAGAGACTCATAAGAGCAGAAGAAGAAGCGATGAGAAAGGATCCTGCTGAAGAAGGATCTCCAAAGAGCAGAGAAGTCAAGATTTCTTTGGCAGAATCAAAGCCACAGAAAGAAAAGCCAGTGGAAGAAACAGCTCCGATATCGTTATCGAATTACGATCAGGTCCACGCGAAGATGACTCGAAACCGATCGGAAATTGGGCAACTTCTACAGATGCGCTTATGAAGAACAAGAAGGAAGGCCAAATCAAGCTCAGACCAAACGAGCTTGGTTCGCAGTCCGTTTCGCTCTTCATGCTTAAGCAAAAGCGTAAATCAATTTTATTAGATTCAAATGATGACCAAGTTTTGCTTCTCCATCAGCCATCCTTACCACACGTCACATTCAACTTCGAACACGGCGGGTCTTTGGAGAACGAACAGTCCCAAATGGTCGAAGAAGCAGAAGTATCGCCATTATCTTCAGAATCATCATCGCAACAGCCAGTTTACGACAGGGATCACATTAATCCTGATCTCTACCCACAAACGATTAAGATTCCGAACTTTAATTCGTGGCATCCACAAACAATTTCGAAATCTATCAAACAACCACGTGTTCCAGCCGTATCTCTTGATAACTAAGAGCCATTCCGCTAAACGTTCTAAACTCGGCTTCCTTTCCGTATCTATGTCGAATACTTCTCTTCTTCTCCAGATTTCAAGTCAATGAGGATCAAGAAGATCGAAGATGTCCTTGTAGCTCCAGAAATTTCATCGTACCACCCAGATTACGTCGAAGAACAGTTAGATGATGCAATTGTCCAGCTCCAGAAGTGCAAAGAAGAATACCAGGGATCGAGAACTCATCTTCGAAGAAAAGGCTTTCTTCTTCTGCAAGTGGCATAAGACTTTCGATGAAGCTCCTCAACTTGTAAAAGTGACACAAGAAAAGAAACCACAGTCCGAGTCGCTCAAGCTTCCATTGACCTTCTTGCCTCACTCAGTCATGCTAATGATGAGGTCATGGAGCAGTTGCAAGAGAAAGAATGGGAATCTCCAAGAGATGCAATCAATCATATCACAGATCTCTTAAGAATCCTCATTATTTCACTCAACTACGCTGAAGAAGATCTTAAGACTCTCAAGTTGCCCAATATTAATGCACAAGAAGTTGCAGATTGGAAGAGATATTACACAGATATGCTCCAGAACATCGAAATCATCAATTCTGCTCACGATAACGTCGTGGTATTACAGAACTTGAAGTATATCGGTGAAGCTCGTTCCCATTGGTCTTCATTTGGCGCAACAGCTCAATCAATTCGACAGAGAGACAAATCGTTCGATCTTGGTCATCACACACAAGACACTTATCAACACGGCCGATCTCATTATCTTGTACATTAAGTCCGCGAACTTACAGATCTTACTACAAGACCACAAATGGTCCAATACCGAAGCAGCCAAACAAAGTTACAGGCTGTCAAGAAGGCAAGGATTATGGCTGTTGCAAGCATCGTCGGATTCAGATACCTTGATTACCCAAATTATTTCGGAATCAACGTCGAAAACGCCAATCTCGGTGCATGCGATGCAGATAGATTCTGCCAACAGCTCGGAGATATCACAAACAAGGTCGAAGCAGCTATCCCAAAACGTTAAAAACCAAGATCAAACAAATATCCTTTTAGAATTCCACGAATATACCACGCCGCCCGCTAACAACCTTCTCAACATGCGTGTCCAAGACAACGAGAAGGAGCCAGACCTTCTCCCTCTTCTCAAAAGCGAATGCCGAAGATTTAGATGCACTTGAGAAGCAATTCAGATCGGCTGCCCAGGACACAAGTTCTACTCCGACCTCAGCGGCCTTCTGTCTTCAATGGGCCGACCAAATTGAGAAGTTCAGATTATCATTAATCTCATTGAAGAAGTTTCGGACATAATTCTTCGCAATCCTTCAAGATACGATGCTGCCGATGTCCATCTCATCAATATCGGCAAGAACATCCGTGTTTTCGAACGATCAGATTTCACATCTCTTGTTCCTGTTACCGCAAACTACACAAAGACCACTACTAACCTCCAAGTAACAATTGACTACCTTACAGATACACCCAACAAGCTCAGAAGGCAAGGATTGGAGTCAACAAAGGCATCTCAGTCACCATTATTCTCCGGATTGCAGCCAATCTCCTGAAACCGATTTCAGGAGAGCAGATGCCACAGAAGACAACGATCATCATCGATCTCAAACCTTACATGAACGGTTTCATTGAAAATCCAAGTGAAATCAAGTCCCAGATTTCGGAAGCTATGCCAGCAGATGAAGCACAGGATAAGACAATCACTGATAAGCTCAATCGCCAGATATTGAGATTGTCAAGTGCTCAGACCGATGCTTTATCGAGAAACTACAATTTGTCAACAAAATCTACTGATGTTCTTTTTCAATTTGATTGTCACTTTTTGTCAATCATTGATTCAACTGAATCCATTGATAGAAGATGCTATTGAGTTGAACGAAATCAGTGAGATCAAGAAGGTTGTATCACAGAACATCAAGAAGTTGAATTCTATACAATCAAGTTACAATGATAAAGCAGTTTTATCCGAATTCGCACAAAAGAGACTGATGATCTTCGCACAGACCCTCAAAGTACTTTCCATATTACAGAGCTCAACCTCAGCCACTTAACTACCGATCTTCCTTCAATGAGTCCTCATTGAATTCAGATATGAGACAACTTACAGTCAAACATCGCTTTCTTCCCCAAGTTCCCATCAACACCAGCTGCAATGACCCTCAAAGACGTCATAAGAGTCAACAAACAATCTCATGACGATATACAATTCGAACTTCTCCCATAATTCAGTCGGAATCGAAGTTCCTCACAAGAATGCTCGACTCATACAGAACTTTTACGCTGAAGCTGATGTAAGATTCTTCAGACTCGAGCAAGAATACACCAGACAAACTTGAAGAAGCAATTGTAGTGGTCAGGGAAGTGAAATTAGACCCATTCTCAGACCAGAAGACACAAACAGCTCAGGTCAAGAGAAATCTCGATGTCGTATCCGAATACTTTCCTCGAATACTCTACAATGCTACAGGAAGGTGATTACCCCTGAAAAATTGTGTAATCTGATACTTTTGTTATCGTCTCATGTTGTCACTTTTTGTCAATATGCCCTTACAATTGAGACCGTGACGATTATTTCCTACAACATGTATTCAATTTACAGAACTTCTACATTGAGTTTAATTGCCACTATTAAGCTTCATGCAGAGATTGGCTCACAGAGGCTTTATAGTACACAAGCAAGACATTGTTTGCAAAAGGTAAGGACAGCGATAAGTACAGCGAACAGACACTTGCATTGATGGAACAATTGGATTCACAGGCATGTTTGGATTCGCAACAAACAGCCATGGAAACATCACTTTCTATTCTGCGAGATTGGCTAAATTACTTTACATCGCAAGAGACAATTTGAGAGTAAAAACAGACAAAAGTAAGTGTACAGGACCAAGAAGAGAGTTTTAGTTCAGTCCATCTGCTCTTCATACGAATGCTCTGCACAGACATTTGTGACTGTTAAAAACAAAGTCCAGCAGTTGACAATCAAACCAAAGGCAAGAGATGTTAGATCTCTATTGGGCTGCACAGAGTTTACTCAACGCAAGTGACTATTTACTTGTGGAGATAAGAGGAACAGCACTTGATGACATAGAGTCAATTGAGTTCTGGATCGGAGCTGCTTCTGAACCAATTACAAGGCTTTGGGTTCAATCGCTTCTTCTATCCCTGCTTCCGTTCCTCAGGCAGCAATAATGAGAAGGAAGGTATCAGTAATTCAACAAGTGTGAGATTGTGCGTGGAACCATTCCAGGAATGTCGTGCATTCACTGTATCTCAATAAAAAGTTTTTTTAATATTTTTATTAAAAAAATAGAATTTTTTTATAATGTGATTTTTTATATCAATTCACGCCTGTAATATTTTTTTGATGCGTTTTATGAATGGTTGAATAAAATTCATTGTTTAATAGTCAGACATATCTTGGCACAAATACTTTCCAGCAACTAACACTCCCTGTAGGAAAGTATAATTTTTCTTTGTGGGGAGCCTCTCCGAGGGAATGCTCCAAACACAGACGGACACATCGGTGGAAAAGCGGCTTGGAAGGTTTCATTAGTGGTGAGATTGATTTAAAAGAACAAACTCTTCTGACTATTGTTGTAGGAGGTAAGGGCCAAACTGCAGATAAAATTGTCAATAATTTACCCGGCGGGTACAATGGAGGGGAGTCACCATATATAGTAAAGGGTGTTAGGGACTGGAGGGCGGGCAAGCGATATAAGGATTGGAGGAACTGCATTAGAGAATAGAGTAATAATTGACAGTGGTGGAGGAGGGTCTGCAGTCGAATCAGATGGCGGTGTAGGAGGAATGAAATAGGAGGTAACGGGATTAATAATAGTCCATATATGGAACAACCTGGTAGAGGTGGAACGCAAAGTAAAGGTGGAGATGCATATCATGGTCTTGAGTTATATCCTGATTATTCTGGGCGTCTAGGATTTGGAGAGAATGGAAAGTCTTATGCTTACGGCGCCCATCGGGGGTGGAGCGTATTTCGGCGGTGGCGGCGGGTGTCAGGAACATGCTGGAGCTGGTGGTGGGTCTAGTCATGCTTCCTCTTTGTTTAAGAATGTTCAAATGCAAAGAGGAATAAATTGGGGAGATGAAGAATCATCATTACCGTGATTAGTGCAATCAAAGTGAATAAAATTAAATCATGCACTGTTTCTATTTCATTCAGATACAGTCCCATTATTATATACCTTTTTGTTTCTTGAATAAAAAAAAATAAAAAGGTGACCAAACTATTTTTTGAAAGTCCGCCATAACTTTAATGGTACTATTTCAGCGTGTACAATGAATACAAAAATTCTAAGAGTGCCACATAAAATAGTACTTTAGACTTGAGTTAATGCTACCAAGCAAATGTTAAAAAGATGACTTTAGTGTTTTGATAATCAAAGATTAAAATCATTATTGTCTAAATCAATAATCATAACGACAGAAGTTAATGTTTTTTCATCAGTGCTTTAAATCCACTTTTAAAAGTATACCTCAAAAATCAAAATATCAAAAAAAATTGGCCGATAGGTTTGGCTTTAATTTTTGTCTGCTTTTATGATTTGATATGGATGTTATAATTTTAAAAGTTGAGCCAAATTCACCAATAGATTTTTGAGATTTGCAAATACTCAATAATTTTCAGCGGTGTTATCTTTTATTAAAAGAACTATTTGGTTTCAGTATCATATAAATTGATATTTACTTTCTATTTGAACCTTCATTTAGCTAATGATTTAGTAATACAGATTTCATCTAATCCTTATAAGAGAATTTTGAATTTGTTATAATAAAAAAAACAAACAGATATAGCTTACACTTCTATAATAAAGATACCTTTTATAGAAATCAGTATGAAATGTGTTTTGGCTTATTGAAAGCATATCAGACATAATCGCCATAATCAAGAAATCTATATACCCAATAAGTAATAAATTTGTCGATATAGATTTTTCATAAAAATTAGTTTTTAGTCTGATCTTAAAATAAATTTAATTTTTTATAAAAAAAAATCACATTTAAATTACCTTTTTAGTAGCTCGAAATCCGTTGGTGGATTTGGGGCGTACTTCAAAATTAGCTTTTCTTCTACATATGAGCAAGATTTTAAATATGGGGCAAATCGGATCGGCGAAAGGAGTTTATTACCTTTAAAAATAATTGATACTTAAATTAAGAAATTGAAATAAGCATACTCGAATGTTATTTTTGAATTTAAATACATTTCATCTCCATCAGATAATACTTTAATAGTTTGAATTTCAATTTACTTTTTGTATTTGATTTTGAGGAAATTACCTCATATAGACATCATGTATTTTTATGGCACACATTTTCTTCTAAATGTTACATAGCGATAATTAAGTTCCAAATATAAAATAATTAAATTTGCAAATTAATGTGAGAGTTTCGATTGTTGAGTAAACAATGTGATTGAAAGTTTATATGTTTAGGCTAAAATATATGAATTAAAGTTTTGTGAATTTTCCACACGTAATCTGATTCTTCTGGCTCCGCTGATTCGATTTCTGCTGTCAGATCGTGAAAATATGCATCACATATAGAGATAAATGCAATTGCACAACTTAATATTTTCCTTAAAATTTCTCTTTCAGGTTCATACCTAAATAAGCTCTTTTTTTGAAAATTCAATTTTTTTCCAAAAATGTATGAATTCAAAAGTTCAGATTATATCTAGTCATTTTCCAACATTAATTTTGTGTTTTAGTTTTGAGATATTCATTTTATTATACGTATTATTCAGAAAATTAAAAGAATTTGTGAGGAAACGGAGGAGATAATAAATATGTAAAGATGGATGAATAGACAATTTGAAAAAAAAAGCAATAATTTTGAGTTGTGTTTATCTCTTTATGTGATGCATATTTTCACGATCTGACAGCAGAAATCGAATCAGCGGAGCCAGAAGAATCAGATTACGTGTGGAAAATATGTTTTGAACGCTTAGATAGGGCTAAAATGAGACTTTATGAGATGTGTTGTATAATTATAGTTTTTGCGATAATGTATCATGAGATCAGAATATGAAGAGAGTAAATATGTATTATTGTCACAGGTTTATATGTGGGGATAGCTCGATAGAGTCTCTAAAAGAGATTAGTACGTGAGTAAGGCGATTTAATAAACAAATGAAAGAAATAATTAAATTTTTTTTTAACTTCGAAAAGATTGTATGAAAGTGTCTTTGATTGTAAGATACATTTAGATCGACAAGAGTGTATTGTGCACTCTTGTCGGTCAAACTTCCGCGTTCAAGTTATGAATGCGGAAGATTGTCTCATTCTGGAAGACATGCAGTGACAATGTCTCCCGGAATGAGACATGCAGACCGACAAGAGTGCACAATACACTCTTGTCGGTCAAACTTGCATCAATTATGAATTGCGGAAGATTGTCTCATTCTGGGAGACATGCAGTGACAATGTCTCCCGGAATGAGACATGCAGACCGACAAGAGTGCACAATACACTCTTGTCGGTCAAACTTCCTAATACAAAATTTGATTCCCTTATTATCTTCTTAACAAAACTTAAGATTTCAATAATACATCATGAAAACATTCATTTACTACATTCACACTGTTATTCCTTTCTATAAATTAACTCATTTAATAGAATCTTGTTTTTATATCTTATTATTTTCTCATAATACTTCTAATTCCTCTATTTCCTCTTCCACATAAAATTTAATTTTGTAATGCTATCATATACACTTAATGTTTTCAAATTTTCAGATTTAAATTTAATCTTTATTTTCATCATCATTTATAATCTTGTTCCTATATAAAGTTATAATAAATTATCGTCAGATTCTAATATTTATGATTCTTACTACTCAATTCAATATAATTATGTTAGTCACTCATATTCAGGAGAATAATTTAAAAATCTATAGCTCATATTTTGATAGTTATATATTTAGATGATATATATTGCAATTCCGGTTTCAACACGATCAAATGCCAAACCAAGACAAAATATATATGAATTTTCAAAATATCGATTTACATTAGAATCTATATCTAATTTTATCAATACACAAGTAGGGAATGTTCAATACATCTTTGAGCAACGTGAATAGCACAATTTTATAGGATTATTTGTTGATTATATAAAATATAAGCCAAATCGAATCTGCTGTATAGTACTTTAGTTTATCATTGAATGTTAAATGTGTTCAGATAAATATTTGAGTCAGATATCGCATTTTCTAATTTCAAAATTTATCTCATGAAGTTAGAATTTATTTGATCATACAACATCATGTTAGTCAAACTAGAGTTCAATGGCGATTCTAAAATGGAACAAATGCTTGTTTTATCAAAATGTTAAAATATTAATCTAAAAAACTTAATATCTAACCAAACCATTCTAGAATTATTATATACAGGTATAGGCAATCTAAATGCACACGGAATTCGGAAAATTAAAAAGAATATTTATGAGATTATTAAATCTTATGTAATTCAATGAAAAGTAGATAATATGAATATCTATAGGCTATATATCAACATATGAGTTTTTGGTTTGACCAATACTATACTAATGTGATCAAATTAATCTGATTTCTTAGATTTTCATTTGAAGCATTTGCAGTAGTAGGGGTACCTTTATATATTAACATATTAAAAAATTGCGCTCCGATTCGCAGTTTCTTCATGATTTTGAGATTGCATTAGATTTCGCGATGCAGAAAAAAATCACTTTAGATTCCCGTCAAACTCTAAGTATAAGCATGTCTCTATATGTAGAAACTGTCTGCGCTATTTATTTCCCGGCTCAAAAAACCACGGTGTCTGTGTGAGGAAAATACCCATTTTAGGACCCTGGGTAGGGGGTCATGAAAATTTTCCAAGAGTTGGAAATATATGGTATTATATAGGACCACAAAGTAAGTCTAGGAGTCATATTTATTGTAAAAATAATAACAATGAATTATTACTATCAGAAGATTTAAAGGAATCAGAGATTTATTCATGTAGTCATACAAACTATATTAACATTTTATTAATTGACGGAAGGATCGAACTTTCTGATTTTAAATTTGATGATCCAAAGATATCAAATGAAGGCTATCCTCAGTATGATAATGGAAATTTGAAGCCATTATGGTTACCAAAAACACAAACATCGAATGAAACTTCAGGTACTGATAATCAGAAGAATAGTTCTAGTAATAAAGCTCCAGCTGGTGCAATTTCTGGAATCGTCATTGGTATTATTATTGAAATTGCAATATTTATTATTGCATTTATTGTTATCCGAAAATACAAATCATCAACAACAAATACTGATGTAGGTGAAGAAGTTTAAATTTTCTTATTGAATAAAAATTTACATTTGATTTTTCTATATGAACTTCTATAAAAAATATATTGTCTTACAGAAATCTCCAAATTTAAACCATTTCATATAGTTTGATTGTGCAAAACCTATATTCTTAATATAAATTCACTCCCATTTCACTTTATCAAGAATATTCTATTCAAAAGTTATTGCCCATATTGTAATTCAACTCCGCTGTTTTGCTGATAATATAGAATGATTCAAACATTCAAAATTAGTACTTGAAATTAATTTTAATTTTGAATTATAGGAAGGAAGTTCAATATGGTGTTACCCCCTTTCATTTTTAAAATTTAATTCGGGAGTCTTTTTGGCTCTAAACCAAGTTCAAATTAATTGCTTTTAGAAAACATGTTCATTGTGAAGAAGTTACAAATAGTATTTGGCGTCTTTATTATGAAGGAATTGATCCTCCTTCTTCAGTCATTACAGGTGAAGTTCAACAAGTCACTCAACAGAGACAAATGCTTTGCATACATCTGTAAATTTATCAACTTACAAGATAGAGCAGTTAAATTCAAAAATACAAATGATTACTCGATTTTACTTTGCGAAAACGTTTTTTCAAAAGGTCCAGGTACAGTATATATTGAAAATTCTAATAATACTGCCATTATTATTGATAAATTCTGTTCATTTGAAAGTAAATCTCTGTTATGGCCAATTTCTTCATTTCAAAGGAAA